CCCCAAAACCCCAAAACCCCATCCAGATGAATTAATAAATCTATCAGTATAATGTAGAAATTTTGATTAAAAAAGTGAGTTTCATTTAAAGAGTGAAGTTTCTAGAATTTTTTATTAGCTTAATAAAAAAGACTGATAGAGATAAATTTTATTTTAAAATAAAGATATTTCTGACTCTTTAAAGAGATGACTGATAAAGGACTTACTGAGCCACTCTTAGACTTCAAAGGTTTAAATAATGTTCTAGCTTAATCTAGCAAACCTCATACAATCCCAATAAACGCACAAGTCAACAATGTCTTTACAAGCATTTAAACTATCGGTGATAAATTAGTAAATGGCAACGAAATTGAAGGTCGAGCCACTCATTATATTTTGACAAGAAGTGGAAATCTCCTTAACTACTCTGATAATGGAAAACTTACACTATGGAGTCTTCTAAGTAATAAGCTAGTCTACTCTGAAGATGTAAGGGGAATCAGTGTGCTTTATGAAACCCCGAAAGGATCAAAACTTTTCATTGGATATATTAACGGAACACTCGAGAGCCGTGATCCCAATACTTAATAAGTACTTTAATAAGTAAATTTAAGAAGTGCGGTTAAAGCTCTAGTCTCAGATGACAAAAATCTGTATGTGAGCCTTAAAAACGGAAAAATTGTTTAATTCCCTACCTAGAACATCTCTTCATTAAATCAAAAGGTAATCAGGCATATTGACAGAACCTCACCGATCACTCATCTTAGATTATCAAGAGATGAGACATTTTTAGTTGGATATGTAGACATTGATCAAGTTGAAATGCTATATGTATTTAACATCATTAAGCCTGAGCAATCTTGGTCTACTAAACTTGACTTATCAGCTGGTGAGCTTAGAGAAGATCCTAATAAGCTGGTTGTAATCTCTGAGGACTGCTTAAACATTTTTATAAGAGGTGAAAATAACAAGGGAGTCTGCATGTATTCTCTATTTGACGGATCTATTGTCTAAAATGTGACATCAATGCATACCAACTATATAAACTAGATACTTGTTACAAAAGATTCTAAGAGAGTGATAACTTGCTCTAAAGATAGAAAGATAAAGGTTTGGGACTGGATTAAATCAGAGTGCTTGGCCACTTTGACTCTTCATGAGGAAGGTGTTGAGGCCATGATCTTATCTGAAGATGAGACGTTACTTTTCAGTGGTTCTTATGATAAGACCGTCAATATTTGGTCCATGTATGAGTATGTCAACCTTGCTACATTGTAAACTAAAATACCAATCAGATCACTTTACTTAAGTGGTGATAATGACATCCTTCTCGCTACAAGTAATCTTAAATAAAAAACCCAGGAGCCCATGTAAGCATTTTGGGTGCTGGAAGATAATGCTGATGCATTTAGAATAAGGGTTGAATTAAAGAATGTTTCTAATTGCTATGTAACTCCTAACAATGAATATTTGGTAACAATGAATGGAAACTCGGCCTTGAAGATTTGGAATCTAAGGAGCAGAGTACTTATTGAAAATCATAAAGTAAATTGCCAGTTCAGATACAATCTTAGAGCACTGAATGGCACAAGAGATTCTGAAAGCATCTTTTTCTAGAAAGAATCTAGCGAAATCGTCTAATGGTCTTGTTCGTTGCAACAACAAGTACATACTTTTAATCATGGAGGTTAAGTTTAAGATATAGTGATTACATCAGACGATAGAATAATGTACTGTGCAATAGAGAGATAAATTTACAAATGGGATTTGTAAACTAAGTAGGAACTCTGCAGATTTTAACACAACAATGGCTACTTCTTGTTCCTTGTTCTAGCTTCAAACGATTAACATTTATTTGCTAACGGATCAGGTGCAGATATATTTGAATATAACCTAAATCTGGATGAAAATTAAGAATTAAAGCGCTTTGATATTATTAAGGACTCCGGTTGGGTTAACTTTGAGCTATCTCCTGATGGAGTTACTCTCATCCAGACAAATTAGTATAACAGTTCATTCTGGGTATGCAATTTAAAAGAGGGCAAAGTTGTTTAGGTTCTCAATAAGCATTCACAAGTTATAAACTTTGTAGGCTTTACTAAAGATGGAAAATATTTGATAACTAGATCCAAAGCAGAGTCAATTATTTGGGAAACATCTAAATGGAAAGCCCTTATTACTATTCAAGAAGAGTTTGGAATTGTTACTTCAAGTTCAAGATATGTTCAAGCGATTATTCATGATGGACTTTACAAATCTTGGTCAGATGAAATCTTCTCTAGTTTCTCTGACGATTTTACCTTCACAAGTAGTACTGAATAAGAGAGTGATATTGTGAAAGATGTATAAGAAGTTAATACAGCTGATATTAAAATGACTGGAAACTTCAATAATCTCATGAAAATTTTTATTGGCAATATTGGGAAGAAATCTCTTGATGAGAAAAAATATCTTCCATATCTTTACAAAACTTAAATTTAACCATTCAAAATGACTCTGGCTCATTATTATGCTTTCTATAATAATGCTGAATTTGTCTCACAGCTATTATAAATGGGAACTCCATATATTGAGGATGTAAATGAAAATACTCCCTTGGATAATGCTATTCAAAAGAAATCCTATGAAAGTGCAACAATTATTCTTGACTACATTATGAGAAGTCCTCATCTCTATGGCAAATTAACAGAGGAAAAAATTGTAAATCTGATTGAATTTGCTCCATCAAATTTGAAAGATTTCTTTGATTCAGCAGTCAAAGAACAATAGGGCGAGTATATTCCATCCTTTGGAACATTGTTAACCAATCCGATTACATTCCGTGTGTCTCAGAATAATTTTGTCAGCTACTCTGATATTAAGCATATGATTGTAGAGGATAAAGAAAGTGATGAACCTTTAGTCTTCAAAACTATTTAGATCCCGTTCAACATGCAACCAGGTTCAGAACCTAGCATTAATTTCCACAGAACACTTTCTGAAAGTGAACTTACAGCATTTAGATCAGAATCAGTATAGGCAATATTGACATATAAATGGGACTTAGTTAAAAAGATCGTTTACATTAACGGGTTAATTTACCTATTCTACATGTCAGTATTATTTGCTTTCATCTAGACATATCATGTAATTTCGGTCTATTTCTTAATTGCTTTTGGTTTTTATTTCATGGGATTTGAGATTCTTCAGATGTGCTTGAATAAATTGAGTTATTTAGGAGATTTTTGGAATATATTCGATTTTCTGAGAGTTCTCTTGCTGATCATTTTTATTTATAATGCTTTCAAATATGAGGACTGGAATCGTAGTTAAGCAATGCTCTAACTTTTAGGAACTCTCAATTTCTTATCTTGGGTTAGAGCTCTTTCATTCTTGAGACTTTTCCAAAAGACAAGAATTTTCATTAGGCTTTTGGTTGAGGTTATTTATGATATGATCCCTTTCATGATTGTTTTGATTGGTGCTGTTCTTGGAATATCCTTAAGTTTTGAAGTTATCAACGATATCAGTATGCTTGAGGCACTCAAACATAATTACAGATTAACCTTTGGAGATTTTGAGACTGATAATTACACAACAGCAAACTGGGCTCTGTTCATCATTGGGTCAGTATTAATTCCATTAATAATGCTTAATATGTTGGTTGCTATAATGTCAGATACATATGCTAGAGTTATGTCAGATGTTCTTCCATCAGATTTCCTCGAACTTAATCAAATGATCCTAGAGCAAGAGGAAATCCAATTTTGGAATAGAAGAAAGGGCTAACTGGGCTATCTCCACTATGTCACTCCACTTTAAAGAAAAGAAGGAAATGATTGGGAGGGCTAAATTTAGAAGATTCTTGCTTTACTTCAATAGCAAAATGGATAATCTCCAGAAGTATTAAATAAACTCGGAGATAAGATTGACCTAATTATTGAAAGTCAAAAAGTTTAATTTAGGGACACAAATCTTAAATTTGATGAACAAAAGAAGAGATTTGATCGTATTCAACAAGAACTAGAAATAATAATGCCAAAGCAATAAAAAGACGAGATTGCTGAAGAAGAAGAAGATAGTGATGGTGATTTGTTTGATGAAGAGTACATAAACGATTTGAGTTAGATCGCCAAAACTCCATTCGAGAATTTCAGCTACTAAATGAAACAATTCGTAAATTATAGATGGAATTAATATAGTCCAACAAAGCAAGGAAAATTGCATAAAAATGAATCAATTAAAGCTATAAGATAGAGCTTTGATGCACTTTATATAGATGCTCCAGATAAATCAGAAATTGAAAGTTTAATTCAAGAAATTGATCTTAATGGAGATGGTCTTCTATCAAAAAAAGAGATCTATGTCTTAATGATGAGACTCAGAGATTATCATAAAGAAGTTGAATCAGAACTAAATATGTTGAATAAAAATAGATATCCCAAGGATGCTTTTACTAGATTCCTTGAACCAAAATACAGAGAAATCTTTGAATAGCTATGGGCTAAATATGACAGTGATAGTAAAGGATACATTCCTTCAAAGTAAGGAACCTAATTGATAAAGGAATTCAGCAAAAAATCCTTAAATGATGAAGAAATAAATGATCTCTTAAAATCTCTTGACAGAGATGGAAATGGCCAAATATCAAAAGATGAATTAAAAACTTTTATCTCGGAAAACAAATATTTACATAATGAAGATGATTGAATAGTTAAAACGAAGTGAATGTCTTAGAAAGGCAATTAAGCGATTATATATTTACTGGGCAAGTTTTTGGCTTTTGAAAATTATTTAAAAGCAGCATCATTCTAGAAGCAATAATTTGAAGGCTTTTTTTATCTTGTCATTTTTATTTAACTAAACATTTTTACTTAATCAAATGAATTCAGTCTATGGGGTTTTGGGGTTTTGGGG